ATTTATTATCCACAATCTAATATTTATCTGGCACTACTGGTGTCATGTATTCTTTAGGGAAACATTTAGCTCTTTAGGAGTTGTTGATACATTTTGTACTATCAAATATTGCTCAGACACTGCTGGTGTCATGAGTGAAAATCACAATCAAATAAACAATGTAAAACAATTGTTTAAGCACACGAAAACTCCTCTTCATAATATTTTTCCACTTCAGGAGGCAATTTCAATTGTGTTACTTCTTCAGGAGCAAATTTAAAATACGAAATATTGAGTATATATTCTCTCAATTATATTAACTCTTCTGGAGGTGAATTGTAATGTATTCACATCAAGAGCGCGTTCATATTTACCCGACTTATTAGTATTGTCACATTCACTTCAGGGAATGGATTAATATTATCAAAAGTTCTCATCCTTCAGGAAATCGAACATAATTATCTGAATGCGCATTAATCACATCAAATTGTGATGCCTCAACCTCTTTAAAATATTTACTACTTCAAGAGAAAATCGAGGTGTGCATTTAATATAGAGAATATTTATGTAGCTTATCTTCAATTGTAACCATAGAAAGCCTACATTATCACTTCTGGTGATCATAGGCATATACCACTTCTAGTAGTTAACAAAATATAGTTACAATGAGATATACGAAATATAACCACTTGTATATTTCTTGCAAACTCTGCTGGAGTTTAAGTTGATCTAATAATGTTATCCATATTCTTCAAAATGACATAAACAAGATATATTATAGTAAACATCATTATCAAATCATAATTTTTCTTTATGTACAACAATTACATAACCATACTATCTATTACAAATAACAAAAATTAAAATATTTACATTTCTACAAATTCACCACCGATTACATGACTTGTTTCTCCTTCTGGGAGTGCAAGGTAATCAGTTACATCCAAATGCATGAAGTTTAAATTATCTTCAGAAATAAAATTTGCTTCAACATATTTCTCTGTCTTCTTTAGGGAGGCTTGATAAAGCTCAACTAGGTGCTTTGGCGTACGACCGGTACGTGACCAGTGCCATTTTTCTCCACATATATAGCATGCATTTTATGCATTTGGTGCTTGCACCGCTTCATGCTTTTGTTCCTTCCTTTTCCACTGCTGGTGGTGAGGAGTGTTCTTTGGTGCATTATTATTACCATGATTAGAGTTTCTTTCCCGACCACGACCATGACCACGACTGGGGCCACGACCTTTTCCACGTTTAGCCTGGTGGAAGTTCGTCTCATTCACTTCAGGGAATGGACAAGAACCAGTAGGTCG